TCGCATTCTCACTCGCCCCCCCCCCCCCCCTCCCTCCCCTCGTTCCCTCCTCATTCCCTCCCTCCCTCCATCCCCCCCACCCCTCGCTCCTGCAGCGTTCCTTTCCCCCTTTCCCTCTCTCCCACTGCGACCACATCTCACCACCAGCCCTCTCCCAGACGGAGCCAGCTTGACTGCTTGGCAGGACTCGCCGCCGCGCGATCCCACCGAGTAATACCTAAGCTGATACTTGGCAACGGCATGCGGCCACTCGCAGGGCAGCTCCTCGCAAATCGAGTGGATCCACTCGTCCCGAGGGTGGCGGGGCGGGGCGTCTCTTGAGTTCGTCCGTGTGCGGGTGGCCACACCGCAGTTTGTAGTGCGGGTTCGCCGAAATATGCGAACCCCCTGCCAGTCGACCCTCCTTCGTCTCGCGTCCCCCGACGCCCAACGTCGTGGCAAAAGCGGCGTGGTGGAAACAACCCACGAAGGGAGCTCCCGACCCCGTCTGCCCGCGTGGTTCGCTCCTGGAACACTTCTGCTGGCTTCCGCCGAGGAAAGGATGACAACATCTCGGTCCCTCGAATTCGAGGCCCTGTCTGGAGCGGCTCATTTGACCACAATTTTGCTTCGGCCACACGCGAGACTGACCCTGGGGGAAAATGACCTCAGGTGCGCGGCTTTCGGGGCTCCTCCTCCTCCCTCCTCCTCCTCCTCCTCCTCCTCCTCCTCCTCCCTCCTCCTCCTCCTCCTCCTCCTCCTCCTCTCCTCCGCCTCCTCCTCCTCCTCCTCCGCCTCCTCCTCCTCCTCCTCCTCCTCCTCCTCAAATGCAAGCTGTCCAAGCGTGACAGCCAGTGCTGGCGGGAGCTCTGTGCGCCCGCACTAAAGGACACTCCAGCGAAGGGTCACTCCTACGCGTAGCCGATTGTTCGAGCCAGATCGATCTGCGAGAGTCCCGAAGGACCCGAAGCGGGGCGAAAATGTCCCATCGTGACTTCTTCACCACTCCCAGCGGATGCTGTACGCTTTCTTGCACCGCCAGGAACACCTTGAGGAAGCATTCACCTCCACGCCCACACCTTCTGGAGCACCGCCCTCAGCTTTCAAGGGAGAGAGGGTATGCATACTTCCCCGCCCCTGGGATCCGGTAGAAATCCATATCCACCAATACTCGAGGTCCTGAGGCACGACCCCGAGGCAGTGGACGGCGAATCCAGAAACCCTGGGTTCGCGCACGCCCTACTTCCGCCAGCTTCCGCTGGCCTTCCGCCGAGAGCGAGACGCCAGCAGGAGGAGCAGCAGCAAAGGGACGAGGATGAAGGGGCCCTGGGACACACAAGTAAATAGACACAAATCCCAGGATGTCCCATATTTACCTATTTTCTACAATTTCGTCTTTCCCTCCACTGCGCATAATTTCCCGCTTATCACGGGAATCCACATTTAGTTGTGTATGTATGGTGTTTCCCCTCCTGAGAGGAGGGAGGAGGACGATTGGACGAGAACCATGTCATGATACGACTGGCTCCAGATACGTTCCCTGGCAGATCCAAAGCTTCTAGCAGCATTCGGCCAATCGTGTCTGGCCGCGCGCGGCAGCAAAAGAACGTGGAGCGCATCATGTTCGTTACGTGCGTCTCGCCACTCTGGGGAGGAGGGGGAGGAGGAGGAGGAGGAGGAGGAGGAGGAGGAGGAGGAGGAGGAGGAGGAGGAGGACCAGTGTAAGCCCAAGAATCATCAATGATGTTGTAATCAACCCTCCCGCCAAGCTCCCTCTTCGTAGGCCCCTACAAGGATTCATTCCCACTGAGGCAACTGCATGGTTGCAAGACAAGCGTTTGAATGCTCTGGATCATGCCTAAATACTAATTCAAAGACTCCAACGCCACGGATCAACCTGACTGTGGCGTCTTGACGATCCTGAACCGTGCCAGAACGGCATTCCTGGGACTTCAACACCGCGAACCCACGAAGTTGTTGCACCATCATAATCTCGAACCTCTCCAAAACGATGTTATGCACGTTGACCATGTAAATCCGCCAAAACTCTTGCAAAATCCTTCAAGGAAAATGCGCGGCGCTAAAGCGAGAGCCACGTTTGGAAAACGAACCACCCTCAATCCGTGAAACTCTTGCGAATACTGACAAATAATGCGCGCGGCGCTAAGGCGAGAGCCACATTTTGAAAACGCCCCGACCTCCATCTGTGAAACGGTTGCCAGCTTTAAAAGTTCAGGGCCATAAATGGCGAAGAAATCTCAGGCCAAACGCCCGGACCGCCCTTTCGACCGGCCTCAGGGTGCGACAGGGAAAAATATGTTTCTTGCACAGGACGCCTAGAGACCCGCACGCTTTATTTCGGCACGGCACCGCCCCCCTCATCTCGCGCGCCACCTCCGCAGCACACCGCCAACTCCACCCACCAGCCAACGCGCCCCCTCCGCCCCGACTTTTTGTCGGCACGGCGCCGCCGCCCCCCATCCCGCACGCCCACTCTGCATTGCCCCACCCACGAGCCAGAGCAGAGCGCCGCATCCGCCCCGACCCCATCTATTTCGGCACGGTACGCCCCCCCCCGCCCCGAGCGCCCCGCCCCTCTGCATCACCCCACCCTCCAGCCAGCGCGCCCCCTCCGCCCCGATTCTTTTTATATCTCGGCACGGCACCGCCCCCTCCAATCCCGCGCGACCCCTCCGCATCGCCCTATCCGCCCCGACCCCTATTATTTCGGCACGGCACCCCCCCCATCCCGCGCGCCCCGTCCGCATCACCCCACCCACCAGCCAGCGCGCCCCCTCCGCACCGACCCTTTCTTTACCCCTTTCGGCACGCCACCCCCCCTGCATCCGCACGCCCCCTCCGCATCACCCCACTCACCAGCCAGCGCGCCGCCTTCCGCCCCGACATTTCGGCGCGGCCCCCCCATCCCGCGCCCCCCCCCGCATCACCCCACCCACCAGCCAGCGCGCCCCCTCAACCCAGACCCCTTTAATGTCGGCACGGCACCGCCCCCCCCACCACCCTGCGCGCCCCGCCCCCCATCCACAAGCCAGCGCGCCCCCTCCGCTCCGACCCTTTATTTCGGGCACAGCATCCCCCCCATCCTGCGCGCCTCTTCCGCACCCCCCACCCTCCAGCCAGCGCGCCCCCTTCCGCCCCGACCCCTCGATGCCGAACGGCACCGCCCCGCCCCGACCCCTTATTATAGGCCCGCCGCATCCTCCCCCCACCAGCCAGCGCGCCCCTCTGGCCCGCGCCCCCCCCCCACCCCCCCCCCCAAGCGCGCCCCCCCCCCCGACATCTTATTTCGCGGCACCGCCCCTCCGCCACGACCCTTTCATTTTGGCACGGCACCGCCCCCCCGCATCCCGCACGCCCCCTCCGCATCACCCCACCGACCAAGCAGCGCGCCCCCTCCGCCCCGACCCCTTTATTTTGGCACAGCGCGGCGGCCCCCCCCCCTACCCCGAGCGACCCCCCCCCCGCATCGCCCCACCCTCCAGCCAACGCGACCCCCCACCCCGACCCTGTAATTCCGGCACGGCGCCGCACCCCCTTCCACCCCGCGCACCTCTTCCGCATCCCCCACCCACCAGCCAGCGCGCCCCTCCGCCCCGGCCCCGTTCGGCACGATACCGCCCCGCCAAGACCCCTTATTATAAGCCCGCCGCATCCTCCCACATACCAGCTAACGCTCCCCCACCGGCCCGCGCCGCTTCCGCATCTCCCTACCCACCAGCCAGCGCGCCCCCTCCACCCCGACCCCTTGAATGTCGGCACGGCACCGCCCCCCATCCCGCGCCCCCCCTTCGCATCCCCCCATCCACCAGCCAGCGCGCCCCCTCCGCCCCGACCCCTTTTTAATTCGACACGGCACCGCCCCACCCCCCATCCCGCGCGCCCCCTCCGCATCCCCCCATCCACAAGCCAGCGCGCCCCCTCAGCCCCGACCCTTTATTTCGGCACAGCATCGCCCCCCCATCCTGCGCGCCTCTTCCGCATCCCTCACCCTCCAGCCAACGCGCCCCCTCCACCCAGACCCCTTGAATGTCGGCACCGCCCCACCCCCATCCCGCGCGCCCCCTCCGCATCCCCCCATCCACAAGCCAGCGCGCCCCCTCAGCCCCGACCCTTTATTTCGGCACAGCATCGCCCCCCCATCCTGCGCGCCTCTTCCGCATCCCCCACCCTCCAGCCAGCGCGCCCCTTCCGCCCCGACCCTTCGATGCCGAACGGCACCGCCCCGCCCCGACCCCTTACCAGAGGCCCGCCGCATCCTCCCACCTACCAAACAGCGCGATCCCTCTGGCCCGCGCCCCCTCCGCACCCCCCCGCCCACCAGCCAGCGCGCCCCCCCGCCCCGACACTATTATTTCGGCGCGGCGCCGCCCCCTCCGCCCCGACCGTTTTCATTTTGGCACGGCACCGCCCCCCCTGCATCCCGCACGCCCCCTCCGCATCACCCCACCACCAGCCAGCGCGCCCCCTCCGCCCCGACCCCACTATTTCGGCACAGCGCGGCCCCCCCATCCCGAGCGCCCCCCCCCCGCATCGCCCCACCCACCAGCCAGCGCGCCCCATCCATCCCGACCACATTATTTCGGCCCCTTCCACCCCGCGCACCTCTTCCGCATCCCCCACCCACCAGCCAGCGCGCCCCTCCGCCCCAGCCCCTTTCTTCCTTTCTTTCGGCACGGCACCATCCCGCCAAGACCCCTTATTAGCAGCCCGCCGCATCCTCCCACCTACCAGCTAGCGCGCCCCCACCGGCCCGCGCCCCCTCCGCACCCCCCCGCCCACCAGCCAGTGCGCCTGCTGCGCCCCGACACATTCAATTTCGGCCCGGCACCGACCACCCCCCACCGCATCCCGCGCGCCCCCTCCACATCACCCCACCCACCAGCCAATGCGCCACCTCCGCCCCGACCTTTATTTCGACACGGCACCGCCCCCCCATCCCGAGCGCCCCCCCTGCATCACCCCACCGACCAGCCAGCGCGCCCCCTCCGCACAACCTGAAT